GACTGTGATCACTGCCCAAAAGGCCAGTTTCTTACACTCCAGGAACTTGATATCCCGGAGGATGAAGAGATTGTGCTTGCAACATGGGAGTCCGGCGACCTTGTGAAAAAAACTTTGGAACCTGAGACTTTCCTAAAAGTCATCCAAGTGACGGTTGGAAGTTGGGTACTTCACAACCATATCCAGCAAACGCAAGGTAAAGCGATCTACGATGAAAAACAGTGCAGGCAACGCGGGAGCATTGTCTTTCATTTTGACTTTGCTGAAAACTGGACCATCGTGCTTCCTGACGAAGTGCAAGCATATCACTGGAAAAAAAAAAAACAAGTTTCGATATTTACATGTGTAGTGACGACAAGAAAATCTACAAACAGCTTTGCCATCATCAGTGAGGACCTGTGTCACGACGCCGCTCACGCTTGCTTGGCTCTAGAAAAAGTGAAGGAGTGGGTTGAAGACAACGTTGCGGTATACTCGTACGTGACGTACGTAAGTGAAGGCGCCGCCAGTCATTTCAAGAATCGCTACCAGCTTTACCAATTTGCAAAGGACGATTGCCCACAAGCCCAGTGGTTATTTTCTGCATCTGGACATGGGAAAAATGCATGTGACGGAGTTGGCGGACTCGTGAAGCACCAGGCCACGCTGAACAACCTGAGAGAACGTTCAGTAAGCGCAATTCAGACGGCCAGGACAATGGTGAGCGTTCTATCAAAGAAACTGAAAGGCGTGCATCTTGTATATCTGGACGAAAATGAGGTTGTTCGGTATCGTGAACAAAAAAAAGAAGAGTGGCTGACGGTGCGCGCCTTCCCTGGCATTCAGTCTTGGCACGCGTGGCGGCTCAGCAAGTCATCAACAAAAGGGACCTGTGACGTATATGTAGCACGGACAGTCGGATCTGCTTGGAAGCAACTTTATTAAATGGGTACAGCGAGGAAAACCTTAGCGTAAAGTGCCGAATTTGATTTCCCAAGGACTGCTCATTTTTAATGCAGGGACATTTTATTTATCACATTTTTCTTCACCGGGTATTTAACCTACTGTTTTTGTTGGTGGTTACTAATAATTTTTATCTGATCACTACAAAAAAAAAATCCCAAAATGTTATCCTCGAGCAGGATAAAATATATCGGCTTGCCACGATTCATTCATACACCGAGAGCATCGAAGCTGCTCCAGTTAGGCACTATGGTATCCGTCACCTGAAATTGTTTGTAATCGTAAATACACAGCCAACCTAAATATCTTACTATTATATCTTTGTTTTTGTGTGTGGAAGTAAAGTTATTTATTTTACTCTAGATGTAAAATATACCGGAAGGTACAACTTCACACTGCATCATCTTTTCTCAAATCATTAGTCTCTAATATGATACCACTTTGTACGCTTATGTAAAATGCTGTATATAGTTTCTCCTCCCTTTTACTGTGTGACCGATCGCTCTTTTTATCAATGACCTCATCTGAATAAATGTATATAAAAGATTTGTGCAAGTTTCATGAAACTGGAACTCAGAGTCACTTCTTGTATAGGACACTGCTAAGTGTAGGCTTTGAAAAAGGACCCTACTTTGGGGAGTTGTTTCTTCTTTCACAGTGCAATGATGCAACATGTTTTTAATAGAAATGAATGCCTAAATAGAGTATAACAGGGTACCCAAATTAAAAAAAAATCGAAGGTGGTGTTTTTTTTTTATTCGCATTGAAAGTTTTCTTTGTTTGATTTTTTTCCCATGTTTGCCTAAATATATTGTAACTATTGTGTCACTCAGATACCTTATTTATTTTTTCAATAATAGCCATATATTAGTAAAATAATTTCTGCAAGTTATGTAATAATGATTAACTTATTTCATGAGATACAGATTTCCAAAGTTTGCCATTTGTCGTTCGAGCAGGCATGTTTGGCAATTTTTATAAAACTAAATAAATTTTTAATAAATATTATTACTTTATATTACAAGCAAGTTGTACCCATAGTTTGTTTGTAAAAAGTTTTAAAATTCTCCTAATTTTATTGTTTTAATTATTCACTTTCAAACTTGCCCCCTCCATCAGTGCGCGTTATTGCAACTGTCCACCTCTCCCTGCCTTACGATTTTTCTTGTCTCCAAATTTTTTTTCTGGTCAAAACTAAGTGTGGATTCGTTTATACCAGACACTAGACAATGTCATATAAAAACATCAGTTGATTTAAAAATGTCGACCAGTCACCCTTTGGTCGATCTTATCTGAAATCACCCTACAATGCTTGGTGTCCACTTTTGGGAATGACCAACCATTCTATTTCTTCAAGTCGCTCAGCGGCATTCTGCCCAAAGTTCGAAATTGTGTACTTTGTGGCGTGGACGCAGATAATGGGTGTCAGCAAATTATAAGGTATTGTCCTTGGACGACAACCGACACCAAATCAACTGTCCTTGCATTGCCGCTCAACTGCTTTGTCGCGCTTACGTCCTGTTGAGGTGATGGGGATCAGGAGCTTCGGGGTAATCTCGGCACCAAAGACCAAAGCCGCCAAAGATACTCCTCAATGTCCCGCGGACGCTTCTCGAGATGTGGTTGAGGGTTCTTCGGCACGAACTCTTGCAGTCCAATTCATTGGTACTGGCACCTCCAGTAGGCATGGTCAGCCTCATGCAGTGGCAGCAGAGTGGTTTTCGGTCGATCATTCGCAGCACCTGCGCTTTCCTCGGTGTACTTTGTTCATGGTTCTTCCCGATGTCGGAAATGCTTCGGCGTTGGGGTGCCTCGTTGAATAGGCATTGAATACTAACGGGTAGCCGGTGGCGGTCGTCGTGACTTTGTGGCATAAGTCGCTCTCGGTTTGTCAGATGCCGATTGGCTCGAAGAAGTCTCCAGTTGAAATCGCTGTCCGAAACAATCTCGGCGATCAAAATAAAAGCCGGGCAACCGATGGCAGGAAGTAGCTTCCTGATCTCCGCCCGGACAACGTCGCGAATGCCTGGGAGGCTGGCGCCGAAGTTGCAGCTAGACGTTTCCATTGTCGAAACGCTGGGCGGTTGTTGACAGTGATAGGTTTCGGCCTGCACTGTACACACCATGTTGGAAGCCTCGGTGATATGAACCCTTCGACTGTTGTCGTGGGGTTGCGGGAGAGGCTGCCGAAGGTGCTGTGGGTGCACCGGTGCCTTGCTGGGGGCTTGTCGAGTTTCTTGGCACATTTGGCAGCCAGCTACCTTGCGTTCGACGTGACTGTCGATGCCCGGCCACCACACTCTGCTGAGTGCAAGACCTTTCATCCGCATTACTCCAGGGTGCGTGGTGTGTAGGGTGTCAAGGACTTGAGCCTGTGCGGGACCCGGAATCACAACCCGAGATCCCCAGGGCACACAGTTTCTGTAGCTGGACAGTTCGTTCTTCCTGGCCACAAAGGGGCGGAATTCTTCTGGCAGCTTCCCTGAAGGCCAGCCTTGCAAAATCCAGCGGTGCACACGCGACAGAACCGGGTCAGTCCGTGTTAATGCTGCGATCTTGGTAGACTCTAGAGGAACCTCCGGCACTGCCTCCAGCAGCAAGATGTCTCCCAGCGGTGGCTCATGCTCATTCTTGACAGGAAGCGGAAGACGACTGAAAACGTCGGCATGTGGCAGCTTGGAGCCAGGTACGTACAACAGTTCGTAGTTGTATGCAGAAAGTTGCAGACTCCAGCGCAACATCCGAGGTGACAACACGGCAGGAACAGGCTTGGCCTCGTGCAAGAGGCCCAGCAACGGCTTATGGTCTGTCAAGAGTTGAAACTTTCGACCGAAAACGTACTGGTGGAATTTCCGAACACCAAATAGCAAAGCCAGAGCCTCCCGATCTATCTGCGCATAGTTACGTTCTGCTTTTGACAAAGTTCTCGAGGCAAAGACCACTGATCTTTCAACGCCGTCTTCTCCCACTTGGCTCAGTACAGCACCCAGCCCGCACGGAGACGCGTCACAGGCCAGCCTTATGGGACGTGACACATCATAGTGTGCTAAGACGGCTGATGTTTCCAGCAGGCTCTTGGCACTCTGGTACGCCTTTGCTTCAGTCTTTGTCCAAATCCATGCCTTGTCCTTGTCCAGGAGGCGGTAAAGTGTCTCCAACACATGTGAAGCTCCTTTCAGGAAACGGCCATAGAAATTTAAGGCTCCCAAGAACGACTGTAGCTCCTTCTTCTTCACTGGTTCCGGGGCTTGCTTAATCGCCTCAACTTTTTCACCCAAAGGGCTTACTCCGTCCTTATTGATACGGTACCCCAGGTACGTCACTTCCTTGTCCCTGAATGCACACTTGTCGGCATTCAGACGAAGCCCATCGTCTTGGATAGGCTGCAGCTCCTTACGCAACCGTTCGTCGTGCTCGGCGACTGTTCTTCCACCAATGAGGATGTCATCCAGAAAACACTCAACTCCTTCGAGTCCGTTTAGTACTCCTTCCATGTAACGTTGGAAGATGGTTACTGCCACTGCCACACCAAACTGCAAACGCGTCACCTTGAACAGGCCCTTGTGTGTTGTCACGGTCTGCAGCATGGCGGTGTCCTCGTCGACACAGAGCTGTTGGTAAGCTTGATCCAAGTCAAGCCGGGAAAACACCGAGCAACCTCCCAGTCTTGCGAGTAGTTGCTCTGGAGTGGGCAGTGGGTAAGTCTCCCACTTGATGACTATGTTGAGCGTTCCCTTGTAGTCTCCACAAATCCTCATCTTTCCATTCTTCTTTAGAATCGGAACAATAGGCGTTGCCCAACGAGAATGCTTGACCGGAGCATAAATCCCTTGGTCCACTAACTTCTCGATGGCTTCGTCCACTTTCGGCAGAAAAGCGAAAGGTACTTGCCGCGACTTGTGGAACTTGGGTGTGGCTTGCTCCTCCACTTCAATCCGCACCAGAGGACCTGTGCTCTTCCCTAACCCAAGCTTGAACACATTTGGGTAGTCCTCCAGCAGAGTTTTGACACTCGTCACCACCTTGCGTACAGCTGGCTGGCCTTCTCCGCTGGAACTCTAGGAAACTGGAGCTCCGTTGAGCTGGTGCAGTCCTTCCAGGGATATGAATAACGGTTGAAACCAGTCTCTCCCCAGGATGCTGATTCCAGACCCTTTTGTGACGAGCAGAGGTAGCTTGCACACTCTACCGTTGTACTTGATAAGAACTTCCACTTCACCCACGATCTGGACAGGCTGCTGTGTGTAGGTCCGCACTCCTCTGGAACACGGTCGAAGTGCCTTCCTCGAGATTCCGAGCTTGCTCAGCATCCTCAGGTTGACAATGGAACAAACGGATCCAGAGTCCACTTTCATCGATACCTCCTGTCCGTTCACGGTGACCGTTGCCACGAAAGCCGGCAGTCCACTGGCGATGTGGTAAAGTCCGTACACTCCTGAGCGTCCCAACTTGCCTGGGCGTTTATTGTTGCTCTTGGCCCTGCTCCTTGCCTGTTCCTTTTGACGGCAGGCTCGAACGATGTGCCCCTTCCGCTTGCAGAAATGACACTCTGCGTTGCGGAATCCACAGCTTGTAGCGTCGTGGTAGCCGTTGCAGCGGAAACACCGCCTTGTTCCTGTCGCTTTTGGCTCTCTTGAGGGTTCTTGTTTTCCGCCCGGCTTGGCACCCTTGGGCACTTGATCCATCCATGTAAATCGGACGGCGCAGGCAACGCTCCTCTGATGTTTTCCGTTTGCCGCGTGGCATACTCGGCAGCGACAGCCTTATCGTACGCTTTCTTAAAGTCCAACGTAGTCTCGGCCAGGAGACGCCGTTGCAGCCCTTCGTCCCTAACGCCGCAGACGAGACGATCGCGGAGCATGTCTTCCAGGAAGACGCCGAACTCGCAGTGCTCGGAGAGTCGTCGCAAGTCCGCGACAAATTCCGCGATGTCTTCACCAGGCTGCTGACTTCGTTTGTGGAATGAGAAACTTTGTACGATTACCGAAGGCCTTGGTGTGAAGTGGCTTGTGAGTTTTGAAACGATGTCCGCGTACAGCGTCTCTGCCGGCGTCGCCGGCGAACACAGCGAGCGAAGGATAGCGTACGTAGCCGGACCGCAGACGCTGCACAGCACTGCTCTCTGCTGCTGCTCCTCGACCACGCCGTTCGCCGCGAAGTAGAACTCCAGGCGTTCCTTGTACGTAGGCCAGGATTCTGGGCGGTCTGGCGAAAACTCTTCCATGTGGCCTAGTCGACCCATGAAGACGTTCGAAACGCTAGGCTTAGCTTCCGAAGCCATCTCGTTCTGCCCGCTGCCGCCGCCGTTACGCAGCCGCTCGCCCTCGTTGCCTCATGTGGAGTCTCGCCGCTTGTTTTTGCTTCTTCATGCGGCCGCCGTCGCTTACGTTGGTCTGTGACCTCGTCGCCAAAACCCCGCAGGGGGCACCTGTGAAAGCAGGTGTTTGGAGAGTGGCGTCTCCACGGACCCCGAGCCATGCGGGCTCGCCCGCCCACGTCCGGCTGTGCGTGGCTTTCCCGTGTCCGGGGAAAAGGGCATCCTGGTGGTTGAGTCGAACCCGGGGTAGGTTTCGACCCTTCGGGGCCCCCCGGGTGAGGCAATACACCACTTCGGCCCCCGCTTCCCGTAGACGGTGTCCTGGCTTGGCCCGACCAGGATGATTCAGTCAGTCGCCACTTCTACTATCCCCTCCCTTCTTTTACCTTTGTCTTCTCCTTCTTTTCACTCTTCTCATTTTCTCTTCTTTCGTTTTTTTCATTTCCTTTGGCGGCAAGGGCTAACCTTGGGTGGCGACAGACTCCTCGTCCAAAACCACACTTGGTTATAGTACCTGGGCAGTGCTAATAGTCTAACGGTTCCAGCAAAGCCCTTTTTGTTATGGTCCGTTAACTATTCCCTTGTTGGGCTCCGTGGTGGGCGGCACACCACAGGTTCTGGATACTTTCCGCCTCTTATGGCTCCCTCTCTCTCTAAACCCGGTTCCAGGCAGGCATCCAAACGGCCCTGTCCGGAACAAGTCATCGCCAAAGCACCAGAAACAGAACACTTTGTTAAGTTTTTTGTAGTTCACTCTGAAGACAATCAACGCCCTGCCGCCAAGCTGTCTCCGTTCATTGTTGCCAAGGTTCTTGAGCATTTGATCGGACACTCCTACCAAGCAAAAAAGTTGCATTCTGGGGACCTCCTGGTTGAGGTCACCACACAAGAGCAAAGTGTGGCCAATCAGAAGATGAAGAGCATCGTGGAGACCTCAGTCACGGTAACGCCGCACAGGACTTTGAACACTGTGCGTGGTGTCATCTCCGAAGAGGACCTGCTAGATGTAAGTGAGGATGAGATCCTTGAAGGCCTACGAAACTCGGGTGTCATTGCAGTAAAGCGGATTATATTTCGCCGCGAGGGTCAGGAGATTCCCTCAAAACATCTTATTCTTTGTTTTGAACGGCACTGTCTCCCAGCAACAGTAAAGGCAGGCTATCTGAACTGCCGTGTCCGTCCTTATGTGCCGAACCCCCAAAGGTGTTTCAGGTGCCAAAGGTTCGGGCATGGGTCCAGGAGCTGCCGTGGAAGAGAGATCTGCGCCAAGTGTGGCAGCAACGAACATGTCGCAGACGTCTGTGAAAGCACTGTGTGCTGCTCCAACTGCAAAGGCACCCATGCAGCGTACTCCCGTGCCTGTCCCCTGTGGAAGCAGGAAAAGGAGATACTGAGTTTAAAGGCTAAGGAGAACATTACATACCTTGAGGCCAAGAAACGCTGGTCATTCCTTGCACAAGGCTCGTATGCCGACGTGGCGCGCCGGGGTCCTGCGCCGCGTATGGAGTCGAGGGCAACCCAGGTCTTGCTCGAAGACCTGGCTGCCGCCCTCGGGACCCCAAAGCCTACCCAGGGGCAGCAGGCTCCCTCTCTTCGCGGAGAGGGTTCGCAGGCTGCTCCCACATCCCAAGACAGGCCAGCGCCTGCTGCGCCTGTACAGTCTGCACGATCTCCTACCAGGGAGAAAATCGAGCCCCTCGGCCTCACTCCCTGGAGAGACCGCCTGCAACCAAGGAGCTGCATGGCCCTCATGCAGCTCCTGTAGCACAGAAGGAGGTGGAGAAGATGGACGGGGTTGAATCCCTCCCCAGTACATCTGCCACCCTCCCGTCAGGTTCTGGTCGTGGCCGCAGGTTAGGATCTCGCAACTCCGACCCTCCCAAGTCGGCAGGCAAGCCTGCTTGCGGAGCTCAGGAGAGCGGTGCTCCTGCCCTATCCACCTCCCCATCTACCCCTGAGTCTGACCAGGAGGAGATGGAGTGGCAGAATCCGAAAACCAAGCGAAAAACTAAAAACCTGTGATACCTCCGAAAGGATGATTTTTATTTTTTTTACTGTTCATCCGTGTGCTCATAATTTCATATCTTAATAATGGTTTCAGTGCTAATGCAGTGGAACTGTCGAGGGCTGCTACATAACCTGGATGATGTGGAGTTTTTGCTGGAGGAACACAAGCCACGTGTGCTTTGCTTACAGGAGACTCATTTAAATCCCAGCCATACCAACTTCCTCAGACGGTATCAGGTATTCCGAAAGGACCGTCCGTGCTCTGTCAGTTCTTCTGGAGGAGTTGCGGTGGTTCTCCCGAGAGAAGTGCCCTGCGTACAGGTCCCACTGTCTACCTCACTGGAAGCAGTGGCTGTACGGTTCATGCTTCACAAAGCTCTGACAGTGTGCTCTTTGTATCTACCACCATCCTTTACTTTGAAATCCTCAGATTTCAATTCGTTTTTAGACCAGCTTCCTCAGCCATTCCTTTTGATGGGTGATTTTAATTGTCACAACCCTCTATGGGGGAGTACACGTCGTGACATCCGAGGAAACATTATTGAGTCTGTGTTATTCTCTCGAACACTTTGTCTTTTTAACACTGGTGAGCCTACCTTTTTTAGCTGTCAACACCTTTCTTCATCATGCATTGATCTCTCCATTGGGACTGCCACACTTTTCCCTAACTTCTCATGGCATGTGCATCCTAACCCATATGGTAGCAACCATTTCCCCATTATTTTAAAGTGCACTGCTCCTTCATGCTCTCTCATGACACGTTCACCACGCTGGAAAATAGACCAGGCAGACTGGGCCATGTTTGAAAGTGCATCTGAGATGAACCCTTAAACTTTAGTTGGCTTGGATGTAAATGATGCCTGCAAATGCCTTACTGCCTCTATAATTGAGACAGCTCATAAAGCTATTCCGCAGTCTTCTACACGCCTTCCTGCTAAGCCAAAACCTTGGTGGACTAAGGAGTGCAGTGAGACTCGAAAAAAACAAAATTGTTCATGGGATGTGCTACGCCGGTACCCGACCCCTCCAAATGTTTTAGCCTTCAAACAGGCTCGGGCGAAGGCTCGATATGTCCGTCGTCAATCAAAAAAGACGACATGGAAGAAATACACCTCCTCCGTTAATAGTCACACCAGTGTAAAAGTTGTCTGGGAAAAAGTGCACAAGATTGATGGGGATTATCGAGCCTTCTCCATACCGCTTTTTGTTCTGCCAGGTGGTGTGCTGCCTAGTCTTGAGCAGCAGGCCAATATTCTAGGGGAGCACTTCGCATCAGTATCAGGTTCATCGCATTACTCGGCTGCATTTTTAAAGCATAAAAGTGTTATAGAGAAAAAGAGAATAAATTGCTCTGGAGGACTACGAGAACCCTATAATAGACCTTTTACTTTTTGAGAGTTACAGGCAGCATTAAATAAAAGTAAAAATACGTGCCCGGGACCAGATCGAATTCACTACTGTATGCTCAAGCATTTGCATTCCAATACCCTGCAGGTTCTTTTAAGCTTTTTTAACCAGATCTGGAGAGAAAGGGTCTTCCCAGATTCTTGGAAAAGAGCTGAAGTTATCCCGCTCCTCAAGCAAGGAAAAGATCCTTCATTACCCTCAAGTTACCGGCCCATAGCCCTCACAAGTTCATTAGGGAAAACCTTGGAACGAATGGTAAACTCAAGATTGGTTTATTTTTTAGAGGAAAATAACCTCCTCGACAAGTTTCAGTGCGGTTTCCGTGCCCACAGATCAACGGTGGACCACCTCGTACGACTTGAGAAAACTATTCGTGAGGCTTTTGTTAATAAACAGCATTGTGTTTCTGTCTTCTTTGATATAGAGAAGGCCTATGACACAACATGGAGGTATGGAATTTTGAACGATCTTGTCTCGTACGGAATTCGTGGCCGAATGCTCTCACTTATCAAAAGCTTTTTGGAAGACAGATACTTTCATGTCAAGCTTGGTACAACCTTCTCTCGTAGTTTCGTCCAAGAGAATGGAGTTCCACAAGGTGGTGTTCTTAGCGTAACACTATTTTTAATAAAAATGAACTCTATTGGAAAGTCTATCCCACAATCACTTTCCTATTCTCTTTACGTGGATGACTTGCAGATCTCTTGCTGTTCGTGTAACATTTCGGTCTGCGAGAGACAACTTCAGCTGGGAATTAATAGTCTGATGAGGTGGGCTAATGCCAATGGGTTTAGTTTTTCACCAGAGAAGTCAGTATGTGTCAACTTTTCTTTACGTAGGGGCATGATCCTAGAGCCTAGTCTGACCTTAAGGGGGCAGGCAATTCCTGTTCGTAATGAACACAAGTTTCTAGGAGTGATATTTGATAAAAAGTTGAATTTCCGTAGTCATGTA